GGGGTTGATGAGTGTCTGGGAGGTGGCCACAGCCAGGGATCCAGCAAGGAGACGTTCCTGAAAGGGTGGGGACCCATGCACTCCACAGAAGTAATTCTTACACTAGGACAGGAGAGAGCAGCAAGAGGAAATAAGTGATCATTTCCTGCCTGAAACCCATCCAGAGGGAGAGCTCTGGGACTTGGAGGGTGAATGTTATGTGTCTTGGATAATGCTGTAAGCTTTGGGAGTGGGGTGTAGGAGAGGTGAGGACTTGAGGGTGGGACTGGGGAAAGCAGACCACCCCCACCTGTTCAAAGACGGAGAACTTGATGGCGTACTCAGGGGCGATCTTGAGTATGTTGATGCCATTACCCCGCCACAGGGAACGGAAGCCTCCCTCTTGGACCATGCTCCGTAGCCCCCCCAGCAGATTCATGAAGTTTGTCTTGGAGGAGTAGACCTGGGGGTAGGGGGGGCCCTGGCCCTGTAAGAAGTCCTCCACCCTATCTTTATTCCCATCCCATCTTGGAACTCAAGCCCTTCTTGTCCCCAGCCACACAGCCCCTCTCATCCCAATTCCTTCTCCAACTCTTTCCCTGGCTAGTCTTAGAATTCTCTAACCCCATGCAGACTCAAACCCAACATCAAGCCACCATCTCATCCATCTTCCTCTACTTTTCAGTCCTACTTTGTCTTGAAAGCCATCCAAAGACCCCCACCCCCAATTCCCTGATCCCCACCCCAATCCTGTCCCTGGCACCATTCTCGGAACTCCTTCCCTGATTGAACTCCATGCCCCATCCACATCACCTCCATTGTCACCCCCAATTCAACCCCCACTCCACCTCCATTCAGCCTTCTAACTCCAGCCCATGTCCCAACCCCACCCTCCTGCCTGTTTCCCGTTGCACCCCCAACCCACATCCTGAACTCCATCCTCTCCACTCTGCTCATCCCCACCCTGATGGCGTCAGTGCAGTGGCCCCCACCTGCACGAACCTGCATGTACACCTTGGCACGGTCCAGAGGGGCCGTGCCAGTGCGAGACACTGCTCCAGCTATGGCTCCTGAGAGCAGAAACTTCCACAAGGCTCCCTCGTTATCCACTTCCAGGACATCCACGGGGACCATCAGCTGCTCTCCCGTGTCAAGCACCTGCAGGGCAGATCAACCTCCTGCCCATGCTCGGCCAGGCTGGAACTGCCTCCCCACACACATCTCCAGAACTCACTCCTGGTGAAAGGCCCACCCTGGTCCTCACTGCTTCAAGATGAATTCTAGGTCTGCTTGGAGGGAAGTGGACCACGCAGAAGGGGTGGGCAGTATGGCTTTCTGCCCCTGAAGTTCTGGCTAGAGATAGTGTGTGACCTGTAGTCGCCAAACTCACCTGCTGTGATGGGAGGTGCTCCAGGTTGTTTTTGCCCACATGCCCAAACACATATCCATACACGTGTGTACAGCCTGGGTTCCAGCAGGTGGGTGGGGGTGGGGGTGGGGGTGGGGGCAGGGGTGGGGGTGGGGGAGGGGGCGAAGGTTTGGTGAATAGGCCCCTGACCCTCTTAAACACGGTCTGGCCCCTTGAACAAGGCTTCTGGGCTTCCTCAGGTTTGGCTCCCATGACAGCTAGAGAGTCATTGAGGTTCAAGAGCCTGACAAGAGGTTTGCCTGCCAGCAACCACATGGGAGGGGTGCCTTGTGAATTTGGGCCCCAGGGGATAATGAGGTCACAGAGGCCTTTGTGATCTAACTGGGTATGGTAGGCAGAGTGAGAGGCTCCCCACAAAAACGTTCACATTCTAATCTCTCCAAACCTGTGAAGGTGTTATGTTGCATGAGAAAGAGGGAATAGCATGTGCAGATGGAATTTAAGTTACTAATAAACTGATGGAGAGATAGACAGATTATTCTGGATTAACCAAAGGGCCCAAAATAATCTCATTTTCTTAAACAGGGAAGAGGGAGCCAGGTTGGTATTCAAGTAATAGGATGTGAGAAAAACTTCCAGGCCATTGCTGGCTTTGAGGATGGAGGAGGGAGCCACCAGCCATGAAATGCAGGCGACCTCTAGAAGCTGGAAAATGTCAGGAAGCAGATTCTCCCCTGGAGCCTCCAGAAGGAGCCAGCCCTGCCGACTGCTTGGTTTTAGCCCACAGAGGTCCATATCGGGCTTCTGCCCTCCAGAATAATACATTTGTGTTGTTTTAAGCCACCAAGTTTGGGGTCATTTGTTTCAATAGCAGCCGTAGGAAGCTGATGTACTGTGTTTCATTGTCATGGCAACAGGAGATGAAAGTGAGAGAGAATGGGACAGCGCTAGAGCTTGGATGGGGGGAGACACAGTTCGTCCCCAAAGAAGGCAGGAATAGGCTTGAAGTCAGAGAGGTCTGGGCATGATCTCATCTCACACACTCCTTGCTATGCGACTTTGGAGTGCCTGCCTTACTCCTCCGAGCTTCTGTTCCCCACCCAGAAATCGGAAGTCATGATAAACTCCACCCGACAGTGTTGTCAACAGGATCCAACAAGAGTCTTCATTGAGGGCACCTCCATCCTCCAAGTTCTTTGGGTCAAAAATTTGATGTCACTGATTCCTCCTTTTCATGCTCACACTGTCATCAAATCCTGTGGGCTTGAACCTTCAAAATATATCTAGAATCTGGCTGCTTCTCACCATGTTCAGGGCTACTGCCCTGGTTCAGCCCCATCACTGCTCACCTGGGCCAGTGCAGTCACCTCCACCAGTCACCCCTCCCCCAGCCCCCTTCCTAGACTTGCCCCCACAGTCAGTTCTTCCTGCACCAGTGACCAGAGGGCACCAGTGACCACCCAAGTCAGGTTCTGTCCCCACTCTGCCCACAGCCCTCCATGGTTCCCACTTCCCTTGGGGTAAAAGCCCAAGTCCTCCCCAGAGCCCACAAGGCCCTGCACGACCTGCCCACCTCCCCTCCCTCTCTCCCCCTCTCTCACTCTGCTCCAGCCTCCCTATTCTCCAGCATGCTAGGCAAAGTTCTGCCCCAGGACCTTGCACTGGCTGTTTCTTCTGCTGGGGATGCTGTTTCCCTAGACAACCCCATGGCTCCCTCCCTCACCATCTTTAAATGTATATTCAAATGTCACCTCCTTAAGGTCTTTTCTGACCACCCTATCTAACATGTGATGTCTACCCTGCAGTATTGCTCATCCCTCTTCTCACCATTTTCCTCCATAGCACCTTGTTTTCTGCTACGTGTTCATCCATTTATGCCACTTATTGTTCTTTTCTCCCCACTGGAATGTAGGATCAATGAGAACAGAAATTTTTGCCTCTTTCTTTTACTTCTGTATCCCAGGTCCAGAACTCAGTCTGGCCTAAAGTAAATGAATGAGATGATACATTAAAGGGCTTAGCCAGAGCCAGGGTATTTAGTGCTTGCTCAATAAGTATAAATTGTTTTCTTTTGAAAGATTCAATGGAAACACCCTTAATTTTGCACATGGGGAAACTGAGGCTTAGAGAACAGAAGCCTGTCTGGTGTCACACTACATGTCAGCTGCAGAGCCTCCTAAAGGCCAGCCTTACTGTCATAGGATATAAGAATGCAGACAAGACCCCTGGTTGGTGTGGCTCAGTGGACTGAGTGCCAGCCTGTGTACTGAAAGGTTGCCAGTTCAATTCCCAGTCAGGGCATATGCCTAGGTTGCAGGCCAGGTCCCCGTAGGGGGTATATGAGAAGCAATCAATCAATGCATCTCTTGCACATTGATGTTTCTCTCCTTCCCTTCCCTTCTCTCTAAAGGTAAATAAATAAAATCTAAAAAAAAGAAAAGAAAAAAATGCAGACAAGAAAGTGGATGTTAACTGCTCCAACTAACTAAATAAACTTAAAGTGGTAGTACTCGATGCCAGCACAGCGGCTCTAAAATTGGTAATGTTAATTCCTTGTTGGTTGCTGTGTATATTACACAATACTTTTTCTGATGGCATGACCTTGAGGTAGCAGTATGCTTTGTTCCACTCCTGGGAATTGATGCTAAGGACAAAATTCAAAGGAAGTAAAAATACAAAATAGTTAGCAAGGCTCAATCCCTTATTTGAGTGTGTGAAAAAAATCACATGTATGGATGTGCAAGTATATCAGTGAGCTACTGCTATGTAACAAATTGTCCCCCCACACTACAGCAGCTTAACATGCAAACAGGGTGGAAGCTACAGTGTCTCTTATCATTCTAATATTGGAGTGATATACTGTCACTTCTGCTGTATTATTCTCTGGGCCATACATACTCACCTTGGTACAATGGGAGAAGGGAATTATACAAGAATGTTATACTAGGGGCAGAGATCATTGGAGGACATTGTGGAGGGTGACTCTCAAGGTCCACACAGGAAGAAGTTTGGCCATGTAAAGACAGGCAGATGGGTCTGCAAGAACTGCTGGCAAGCACCAGGAACTGGGAGAGGCAATGAAGGATCCTCTCCTAGAGTCTTCAGAGGATGCATGAGCATGCCAGCACCTTGGTTTTGAACTTCTACCCTCTAGAACTCTGAGAGAATAACTTTCTGTTGCTTTTATCCACAGTAGCCAAGAAGTGGGAACAAACCAAGTGTACACTGAGGGATGAATGGATAAACAAAATGTGGACCACCCAGACAATGGAGTCTCACTCATGAAGCATTCCGTATTTTTTTTAAAAAATGATTAAAATGGTAAGTTTCGGTTATGTGTACTTTACCACAATAAAAATATACCAATCTAAGATTTGTTGTTTTCAGCCCGATTTGCAGCAACTTGTGAAGACAGTCCTGGGAAATGAATACACTTGTGTAATTAGAAATGACACGGGAAAAATTAGCAGGGCTCCAGAATATGGACTTCTCCTCGCTCCACTTTGTAGGTGTGGAAGCTGAGGCTCCAAGAGGGAGTCATTTCTCGGTCTCCTCCAACTGTGAGTGATGGAAGATGGTCCATATTCCTTCCCTGGGGGTGTTTTGAGGGTGTCCCACATCCACCCACCCCTTTCAGTAAAAACCACAATGAGAAGAGCTTAGAAAAATGTATTCCTTTTGTTCTTCTTCTTTGACATAACACACACAGGCAGGGAGATGGGGAGAGGCTGAAGCCTTGAGGAGGTCCTCTACCCCCCCAGACATCGCAGCTCCTCTTCTGTAGTCCTTTAACGGGGTTCTCCAAGGAGTTGGGAGGAGTAGAGGGAGGAGTCCCTCAGTTTCCTAAGCTCAGAATCCAACTCTAAAGTGCAGAGTGTATAGGGGTGTTGGGGCTTGGGTTAGTCATAAAGGTGGGGGGTGGGGCGCGGTGACGGAATGTCTGCTCCTCTCCTTAGAAAAATAGACCTGGAATGAGTTCTGGGGATTTGGTTCATTTTGCATAACTGGATGCTTGGGTTTGGGGAAGGGTGGTCTGTGTAGACTTGCTCCTGGCTCGCATCTCTGAAGCCTGAGGAAAGGCTGCTAGTGCTGGGGCTAGGGGAGGTCCCCTGAATGTGCCCTCACCTCAGATTGCCTCATTGCCAGCCCCCAAGAAAGAGCAGCTGGATCTTCCAGAGGGACCCAGGCTCTGGGGGTTATCAGCTTATAAGGTGGGGAGTGGAAGACTCTGTAGAAGGTCGAGGGAGGGTTGGAGAGAGCAGTGTCCCCACAGAGCCGAGGTATGGCCATGCTGAGGAGGTGGGGGGATCCAGTGTCAGTGCAAGGCATGAGAGGGGAAGCTGGCCATGCCAGGAGCCAAGAGGCAGGGACCTGGGGGTCCTGCCAGCTCCCAGGTTTGGGTTGTGGTGGGGAGGTCTCTGGGCTCTCATGTATGTCTGAGACAGGGGACCTGTGCAGTCCAGAATGCTGTGATCATCTTACTGGGATCTAAATGTGGGACCTGAATATTTGGAAGCCAGTGTCTGGGAGGATTCAGGTCAAAATCCAGGGGCTCAGGGGCTGGGATCCAGTGCCTGGAGGTGTCGGGGTCTGTTTCCTGTGAGTGAGGTTTTAGAGTCCCGCTGCAGTTGCTGGGACCCACTTGCTCTGCCACTGGGCTCTTACAGTTGTGGTTTTCAGAGCCAGTATTGAGTGTCTCAGGCCTTGGGCATCTGGAATTCAGTGGGCTGGGGGTTGAGGGTATGGTGGCTGAAAGGTAGGGATCTGGCAGTTGAAGCAGAGGGATCTAGGGGATCAGAGATCCAGTGGTGCGGGTCCCAGGATCTGGGCATTGCACTGTCAGGAGCTGGTGGCTGGGGTTTCCAAATCCAGTGGCATAGCTTGGAAATCCACGGCTTGAAGCATGGAGGTCTAGGATCTGCTAGTGGGGTTGGGGATCTGGGTTCTGCTGTATGAGGACTCCAGGATGCGGTGCCCGAGGGAGCTGGGGTCTGGTGCTTAGCTATGGGGATATGTGTTCCTGTGGTTGGGGTTTCAGAATTCATTAGCTGAGTAGTGAGGGATCCAATGGCTAAGACATGAAGGTCCAGGACCTTATGCATGCGTGTGTGTTGGGGCAGGGGAGGCAGGGAAACATGGGGTCCAGTATCTGGAACGTGGGATGCAGGACCCAGTGGATGAAGTATGGGGATCCTGTGGTTTGAGTGGGGGGCACCTGGGATCCACTGGCTGAGCCATCAGTCTCCAGTGGCTAAGGTGTATGGGACGTCATGATTGAGGAGGGATGTTAGTGAGGGAAGCTCTGGGTCCCTCACCTGGATGTGACCCCCAGGGCCTGCTTCATGTTTTCGTAGACCACATAGGAGATGCTCACAGCTGGGATAACCTTCATGAAGTTGGGGGCAATGCCCCGGTAGAGGCCCGGTATGCCCTCCTGGGACAGGATGTGACGGAGCAGACCCAGCATGGAGAACTGGGGGGCACCCTCGATGGAGGCTGGGAGGGAATGAGGGGCCAGGTCAGGCCAAAGGTCCCCCTCTCCCTTCCCCCTCCCACCCCCTCAGGGCTGGGCCAGGTGGCTGTTGTAGCAGGAGGGATAAGGGTTAGACTAACAGTAGGACCTACCACTCAAGAGTCAGGACTTCTACTGGCCTTGGAATGGACTGTTCACCTTTTCACTTCAATCTGGAGGGCCCAAGTTTGGGGACTATTCAAAACAGAGCAGGTATGAGTGTGTGTAGTGGGAGAGGGCACAGAAGTGACCTCCTCCTGGAATTGTATTCCCACCCTCTTCTTCCAACTAACTCTTCCTCATCATCCCTGCAACCAGGTCTTCACGGAAGCCATCTTGGGCACTCCAGTCTAAGTCAGGCTCCTCTTCCCCTTTATTCAACCCTAAATCCGTACTCAACTGTGGAGTGACTGACTTAGCATCTCTCTTCCTCTCCAGCCTGTGAGCTCTTTGAAGGTAGGGAACCACATCTGTCTTCTATACTTATAATCCCCCAGTGAAAATCATAGAACACAAACACTAAAATTTCCTAGGAAATTTTCAAAGCAGATTTGGTTATAATAGGGCAGAGGCAGGGAAAGAACCCCTGAAAGAAAAATACAGAGAAACACAATGAAACGATAACCAGCCTGGCACTGGTCCTCCTTAGCCTGGTTCCTCATCTTCCGCTCACTAACCCAGCCTTGCAAATTAGATCTCAAGTTGCCAGCCCGGACATGGTAGCTGGTCTACCAAGCAGCCTCCCAGCTACGACTGCTAGGGCCCTTCCAGCGCTCGTTGCATCTGTTCTCCTAATGAGGGCAAAGGACTCCCATTCTAACGCCACAAATAGATACCCTGAGCCACGGAGAGAGGGTGGGACTTGGTCAAGGCCATCCAGATCCAGGAGGATTCCAGCCTGGGACTCCACCTACCCAGGAGGATCCGGGGAGGGAGGTGGGACCCAAACTGTGAGACCTTCCCTGCCCCATCCTCCCGCCCAGGCCTCACCTTGGGCCTGCATACGGGTCCGGACCAGGGCCAGGGGGTAACTGGCTATCTGGCCACAGGTGCTGGAGATGGTGCCACAGGCCAGGAGCACGAGGATGCCTGGGTCAGCCGAGTCGTGGCTGTACTGCTGGAGCCACCGGTTCTTCAGGGTCTGGCAGGGGTGAAGAGGGGAATAGGGTTGGCTGGAGGTGGGTGACACCAGGACCCTGCCTTCAGATGCCTTGTGGGCCAGCTTTGGTATCCCATGACAGCTGGTATGAGCTCAGCACTGGCACTCCAAGGGGCAACACTGGCATTTCACCTGCACCCTCTCACTCAGCCCCCACCTCTACCCTTTACGGTATTTGGGATGATGGCCCCACTGTCCATGCCCTAGTCCCTGGGACATGTGAATAGGGAAATTTATGTGGCAAAAGAGACTTTACGGATGGGATTAAGTCAAGGAACTTGAGATGGAAGATGATCCTTGAGCATCCAGGTTGGTTCAATGTCACTGCAAGGGTCCTTATAAGAGGCAGAGAAGATGTTATGATGGAAGGAGATGAGAGACGGGTTGGAAGATACTATGCTGCTGACTTTAAAGACAGAGAAGGGGCCCACAGGCCAAGGAGTGCAGGTGGTTGCCAGAAACTGAATAAGGTAAGGAAACAGACTCTCCCCTGGAGGCTTCAGGACCACAGCCCTCTCGACAGCTTGATTTTAACGCAGTGAGACCCATTTAGGACTTGAGTGCTGTGACAGATGAGTGACGTCTAGCCTGGTATGGAAGGGGCCAACGAGAAGCACGTGTTCTCCGTCCTTGCCCTCACTCGAGAGTGCAGTTGGCCTTCTCTCGAGTCTGGAGCGGTATGTGCCAAACAGGTGTTCAAAGAATTTTTAAGAGATATTCTGTTGAAAAGAGGTTCTGATGACTAGATAAACATGGCCAACACTGGGTTAAACAAAATGTTGTCACTTTTTAGTGGGACTTCTCAGAGCCTTTACAGGACTAACAGATTTTGAAACTTCAAGAGGGCACGGGGTTTCTCAAACTACTTAGAACTTCATCCAAAGTCCCGTTTTTTTAGTGAAGAATGGATGAAACAAAGTTGCATCTTACTTCTGCTCATGACTCTCAGTGGCTTCTTACTGCACTAGGGATAAACCTAAACTCTTTCTCATTGGGTCCTGCTGCCTCTTCAGTTGCTCCCAGCCGCTCAGGGCTTCCACTCTGCCAGAAGAACCACTTCGTTCCTGCTTCTGGGCCTTGGCGTTCACTGTGCCCTCTGCCTTGTTCACACATATATCCCTTCCGTGTATGTTCAACTCATCGATGCTTCAAGGTCACCTCTCAGAGACGTTCCTAGACCTGTCCTCTCACCCACTGTTACTTTTGGTTACATATCCTGTTTAATTTTCTTCTGAGAATGTACAAGGATCCCAAAGCACTGATTTGCTGGTTGCCTGGCTCCCTAGTTCGTTGAAGTGGTCTCCAGGAGGGCAAGGGCTGCCTTGTTCTCACTTCATGCAGCAGCCAGCCCAGTGCCCAGCACATATGGGTGCTTAAGCAAATGAACAAATGAATGAATGAGTACTGGCCGTGTCTTATTTGGCTGCATAGATGCTGGCAGGGCAGCTATGGATGAACTTAGATCAGGAAGGACCAGCTACGTAATTTGTGGGGCTCAGTACAAAACAAAAATAAGTGAGGTTCCTCCTTCAATAATGATTAGGAATTTCAAGGTGGCAACAGCAGTGTTCCAAGTGAGGAACCTTGGTCGGAGCCCTGGGTTGTCTGCCTGTGAAGCTGACCCTACCCTGGATACAGAGATATGGGGGGATGCCTGCGGACATCTGGGACTGCACTATGTGAGTAAAACCTGGTGATCCCATCAGAAGGTAAAAGCAATGGACGAGACCCCTGAAAGAGAAATAGCAAAACTCTCTGCTTTTGCGTTTCCTGATGAAATCCCCAAGAGGTTGATCACAGGGTACAGATTTTACAGTGACACAGATGCAAAAATGGGTGGGCCCTGAAGACAATGGCCCGGAGACACAGGCCAGGTGTGACACAAGCTTTGGGGCAAATCGGGCATCTCTAAAACTCACCTTTGCCTGCTCTCATGATTCTGTGAGCTGAGAGAGGCCTCGACTATCATGCATCCTGAGACCCTGGAAGGCCGAACTGCAGTGGTAGGTAAGGAGTGAGGATGCCTACTGCCTGAAAGGGTCCCCAGGATCCCCAGGTCTGTGTTGCTTCCCCACCCCAGGATTGGTTCCCCTGCTCTGGAGGTCAACTGAGTCAGCCCCATAGGAAGAGGGTGGCCCACGGACAGATCCCAGAGGGAAGAAGAAAGGAGGGGCGGGCTGCCACAGACCTCGTAGACGGCCAGGTCGATGCCGGCGTAGGGAATGATGCCCAGCACGTTGGGCAGGTAGCCGCGGTAGAAGGCGCGGGGCCCTTCTCGCTCCATGATCTGCCATGCGCAGTCCAACAGCCCTTTGTACTGGCCCGTCCGGCGAAGGGTCAACCGCGTCTTCAGGACCTGGGGAGAGTCCGATTATCCCGGGAAAGCTGCTTCTGGAATCACTACATCCAGGAATGAAGACACCTAGAAATAGCTATTCCTAGAAGGAGATACCCTGTGAATAAGTGAATTTAAAAGACCCACTTTTTCTAGAATCTTCTGCTATCGCTAATCTCCATACCTAGAAATGGTCACACCTCTCAGAGTTGCATGTGGCAGCCACTGCTAACAGTCTTCCAATATCTTGACCCCTTAATAATAGAAACCATTATTTTCAGGAAATTATGGCCTACAGCTTTTAGAAATAAAGACTACATTTCTCAGCTTTCCTAGGTGTGGGGCCATGTGATTAAGTCCAGCCAATGAAGCAGAAGGGAAAGAGTTATGCGTGACTTTCAAAAAAGCATCCATAAAGGCAGGGATATGTTTCTCCTTAGTCTATTCTTCCTTCTTGGCTGGAATATAGATGTGATGACCGGAGCATAAGACGCCATTTGTGCCCATAAGGTGGATGCTATAGGCTGAGGTGGTGGAACAACAAGATAGGGGGAAGGAATCTGAATGTCTAGCACTTGGAAAGCACATACCACTGTGATTTGAGTTTTCCATCACTCAAAATCCAACCTGAAGCTCTACACAACTTGAAACCTGAAATGATTTCTCTGAAAACAGTTTTACCTAGAAATGAATCCCCTGGAAACAAGCATCCTAGAAATAAGCATCCTTAGAAGAGGTATATCCATACACGGCTGCCTCCCACAATGTGGCTGTCTAAACAGTTAAAAGCAACAGTACCATCCTCAGAAGTAACATCTCAAAGTATAGCGCCCAGAAAGGCTACACATGAAGCATTGCTGTAATGAGCTGCAGTCTGAATCAAGGAGAGGCAAAGTTATAATCCCAGGGCTTATCACACCATGAAGTGAAACGGGGCCTCCGTCAGGGTCCCTCCTTCTCACCTCCATGGGGTAAATGATGGTTTGGGCTGTGGCACCAGCCAAGGATCCAGCTACAAAGCGCTCTTGCACATGTAGTGTCTCCTGCTGCCCCCGAATGGCCCACTTGATCTGAGGGTAGGAGACACAGTGGTGGGCAGGACCTCAGGGGTTGAGCTTTCCAAGCACTTGGACCTCCCCTCTAATGTCCTCCTGCCATGGGCATCATGCAGGAGAACAGAGGCCCACCCCTGGGGACCTGAAGGCATTCCCCACACTCAAGCCAATCCTGCACATCCTAGCTCATGCCTCCCCACAACTGCCCCTACCTGCTCATAGGCCATGAACTTGATAGCCGACTCAGGTGCAATCTTGAGTACATTGATCCCGTTGCCACGCCACAGGGAGCGCATGCCCCCTTCTTGGATCATGTTCCGTAGGCCCCCCAGGATGTTCAGCCGGTTGGTCTTGGAGGCATGGACCTGGGCAGGAAGACAAGGTGACTTTGGGGTCCTCTCCAGGGGCCCAGGCCTGGAAGAGGTCTGGAAGAGGCTCTCTAGCACCCTCACCTGCATGAAGACCTTGAGGCGGTCCAGAGGGGCTGTGCCTGTCCTCGACACAGCACCTGCCACTGCACCAGCCACCAGCTGCTTCCACCACATGCCAGTCAGCTTTTCCTGCTCTGAGAACTCGTCAGGGACAGTCAGGCACTCGCCAATGTCCAGGACCTGAGGGTGCAGGGGTGGAGAGATGTAACTCAGCTCTAAACAAAGGTATTTCCAAGAATCCCTGGACACCCAGGCAGTCTATCAGTGAATCTTGCTTGGAGAGCCCAGGAGATCCCTGCCAGATTCCACCAAAACATCCAAGTCAGTCACCTTCCATGTAAGAAATATCCCTCCTTGGGGACCTCGACCAAATTCTACTGAAGGATTTGCCACATAAAGATACCTCCAGAGCCAACCAGATTCCTCTGAAGGATCCCACTTAAGGGTCTCCCACATAAGGATCTCAGAAGATCCTTCCAGAGCCATACAAAATCCTACAGGGGGCCTCCCACATACGGAGCCCAGCAGATCCCTCCCAGGGCCTCACCCACTCCCACAGGGATTTCCTTCACAGGGATCACTCCTCCTCTACAGTCCTCCTGTAGACTCCCCAACCAAGCCGCTCCATGAATCTCCTCGTGAATCTCTGGCTCTCCCTTCATGTGGATCTCCCCCACATGCCAACAGTTTCTACCAGAAGCATTGCTCAGAAAATACCACCCAGGAAATGGTGATCTAGCGCACCCCTCCCAAATTCAGTGGATCCCACTGGACTCTCCAAAGACAGTGGCTTCTTGTTTTTCAGCAAGAGAATCCTTAACTGAAGCATTTAGAAAGCAGAAGGGGAGCTGGGTGGGTTGAAGGTGGGTGGTCAGGTGCCCCACCAGATGAGCTCTTTCTTCCCCGAGTGCTCAGGCCCCCTATAGCCTGCCGGCTCAGAGGCCCTACAGCATGTTTGAAGGGTTCCCATCAGATTGCAGAAACCTCCCCAAATGGGTCCTCAGTCCCTCAAGTTCCAAATGGAGAAAAATGGGGAGCAGAGCCTCATCCCTCAGCTGCTCCCAGTGGCTCCTTCTTCTAGAACATCCTGACCCAGCTCCTCTTTGCCCTGGGAAGACTGAAGCTAGGCCCCCAGGGAGGAGGAAGAGGGCCCAGTCACTAGGCTGAGAAAGCCACCCCCACCTCACCGTGGAATGCTTCCAGAAATAGAGCACGTCTTCCACATTCTCCAGTGAATGCAACAGGAAGTGGTCACGCCATTCCTGCCAGTCGATGGTCATAGTGCCGTCACGGTCCATGCTGAGGGGTGGGACAAAATCAGTACCTGAGGCTGGGGGTGGGTTAGAGTAAGGCTCTGGTTGGATTTAAGGGTAGACCAAGCTTGTCTGCACTGAGAGCTCGCCGCTTCATGGTGGGGCAGACTGAGGCTCAGGGAGGTGAAGCAATTGGTCCAAGTTGGACCTGACTCCAAAGCTCAGCTTCTCAGCTCCACCTGCCTGCCTTGGTACTGGGTCTGGGGCCCAGAGGCTCGAGGAGGCCAATGGGACCTGGGGACCAGAGTTACGTGGGATTCTGGACCCCAGCTACTCACCTGTGTAGAATTTTCTCTGCCTGTTCCAGGGAGATAGAAATGCCCAGAGCTCGGAAACTCTGCTGGATCTCAGAGACATCGATGTGACCTGGGAATCAAGGTGGGGAAGGGTGTGTGTGTGAGGGGGAGGCCCTGGGACCGAGGAGCAGGATAGTATGAAATGCAAGCGGTCTAGCAAGACCAGGGTGTCTAGAAACCCAGGGTGAGGCTTGTGGCAGGGTTGGGGAATCTCCGACCCAGTGGAATCTGAGAAGCGGGACTGGACAATGTTGAAGGGTCCTCTGTCTCATGAATGAATGAAGGTGTGAATGCTGGGGTAATTGCGAGACTCCCTGTAATATCACAGAGGATCAAGAAGTGATATTAGAGACCTAGAATATGCTATGGTGAGGGGGGTCTCTGTGCCATAGGAAATCCAGGAGCAACAGGGGCATCTTTGTCCCTTTGAAAAATCTAAGGGTAAATAACAGGGGTCTCAGTCCAGGAAGAAATGAGGTGGGATGGGCTGGCTGAGCCATGAACCACCTAGCTGGAAGTGAGGAGGGTTCCCAAAATAGCCTGTGAGTCATCAGGGAGAAGCAGTCTTACCCCCCCTCCTGGCATCACCAGTTCTAACCCCATTGGCATCCCCAGGGCCCCAACAGCCCCATCTCTGGACCTTACCATCCTGATTCTGGTCCAGACTGTGGAACAGAAGCAGCAGGCGCTGTTCCCGCTCCTGCAGGTATTGGGTAAACTCTTCCAGGTCCAGCCCGCCATCTGGATCAGCACCAGACTCTGGGGAGAGGTCCTGGTGGGGGAAAGGGACATAGGGAGCTCCAGAAGGCTGCTCCCCCATGTGGGGTGGGCACAACAAGCTTATACCCCAGGAACCCAGTGACTAGAGGACAGGGACAGGGTAAGTCACCCCTTCCCTCCATCAGCCTATTTCTCAGTATGACGTCCAAGGCCACAGTAGGGCTGTGAAGTGGGTATCAGTCGTCCAGTTTTCCTGGCCAGTAAATCGAGGCTCTCCAAGGTCAAGTAACTCATTCAAGGTTACAGAGCTGGGAAGTGGGAGGTAGCCTTGGGCTCTTGTCTCTGAAAGCCTGTCCTCCCAGCTGTCTCTTACAAAAACCTGTTCCTGTGGCAGTTTCAGGAACTCCCCATAGAGACAGCTCTGGGCAATGTGGGGCAATGACAGGTCCAAGCTGAGCATCTGTAGGGTCTTCACTTTCCTACCTGGAAAGTAGGAGGCCAGACTGGAGGTGTCAGGATGCTATGGAGCCATTCCAGTGGCACCTGGGGCTACAGGTGTGGGGAACACCTGCATGGACCCAGGGGTGAGTTCATGCTTTGATAGGTGCATCCCCAGCTGAGGGTGGCCTCAGACTGGACTGGGTCCTTGGCCGTGGCAGCCTGGGGCATTGAGCCAGGCCTGGAAAAGGGCAGGAATGTAAACATAGAGGCTGGGGCAGCTGGCTAGGAGGGCAGTTGGTGCCCAGAGGGGGAGGGTGTGTAACCTGGAGGTGGGAGCACCTGTCTTGGGCTGTGCAGAGTTCACAGGAGGTGTCTCCGGGCAGTGGGCAGGAAAGTGGGTCAGACTCTATTCTCTGGCAGACATTCCCTACCTCCCTGGGGTTGAGGGTGGGGACCCCAGACAAACTTCATGCCCAGGGCATCTGTAGCCCTGTTTTGAGTGAACTTGTTAGGCCCAGGTACAGGTAGGCAAAGGGAAAGGAACAGAGACACCCAAACTAGGCACAGGTGTTGGAGTCCGGCCACAGACAGTGCCTGGCGGATCCCGTCGCTCCATCCAGGGGCTCCAGTTGGCCGGCGCCGCGAGGGCGCGAGCGCGGCTCACCAGGCCGGGGTCCCTGTAGGGGGTACCTGTTGGGCGCCGCGGCCCGGGTCGCCTCCGCTCAGCCGGGCCAGTCCCTGGCGCAACTCGTGCACGTCCACGCGGCCGTCCTTGTTACTGTCCAGCTCCTCGAAGAGGCGACCCCAGCGCTGCCGCCGCTCCGCGTCGCCTGGACCCCCCCGCATGGCGCCCTCCGGGGGGGAGGGGAGGCCCCGCAGCAGCAGCCTCAGCCGGGGCTTCGCCGCTCCCCCTCCCCCCCGGGGCCCCGCAGGGCCAGCTCTGCTGCCACCGCTACTGCAGCCTCCGCGCAGCCAGCCGGGCTCTGGCACTTGCTGGAGGTGGTGACTGCTAGCCGTTGCCGCCCGCGTCAGAACTTGAGGCACCTCCCCCGACCCTCTGGCGGAGAGGGGGGCTGGGGGCGGAGCTGGGGGTGTGGTGAGGGACGTCAGGGATGCTCGGGTATTGCACAGCCTAGGGAGCATCGGGGTTCATTCTGGGAGAGAGGCTGGCTAGAGAGATCAGTCGTCTCAGTTCCGTTTTCAGTGTTCCGCCTCTGTGTGCCTCAGTTTATCCTCTGTCCAAGGAGGCAAAGTAGGGAGATGTCGGGGATTGGATTTCGTAATCTCTGTCCACTGATCTTCCTTCCCTACTAATCCTCTTCAGAAATTAAAGTTCTCGTTTTTCCCAGACATACTCAAGAACTAGTCCAACGAAACCTAGACCTGCATTTGCCCGCTCGCTCATTTCACATTAGCCCCTCAGCCGCAGAAACGCAAGAGCTGGACGTGACAGTGTCTCTCAGTCCCTAAATCCCGCCCGCGCGCTTTCTTTCTTGGTCCCACTCAGACTGAGAAACAAAAGATTAACGTGCGGCGCGGCTGCAAGGTCGGTTTCTTATTGGCCAGAACTACCTAGAGCTGTGCCCGCCGGTCCCGCCTTGCCCACCCACCTTGGACGGCCTCGGGCTCCGCCTCTCCGAGCTCCCCTGGCAGTCTTAAAGCGGCCGCGGCCTCGTCCAGAAGCCCCGCCGACTGCTCTCTCCATACCATCCTGGAGGGTCTTAGTGTCCCAGGCACGGCTCAGGACCCGCACAGGGTAGCTGAGCTCAGAAGGCTGGGCCCTAGCTTGTCGCTCTCACTGCATCTACCGAATATCTTTTCCATTAGTTTCGGGTGCAGTTTCTCGAGTCATCATTAGGGGGAGGGGCGCCCAGATCACGAGACAGCGAATAATAATAACAGCTAACATAGATTCAGTGCATTACACATGCCAGACCTTTTACTCACTTCTCGTATCGTCCTCGCCAAACCCCTATAAGGTAGGTGGGACTGGCTTTCCCATTTCTCGGATGAGGAAACAGGAGGTTATGGCGCTCTCCCCAGTCCACGTGCCCAGTAAGGGCAAAGCAGGAATTTATGCAGACCTGGGATCTTTACCCATCCCTTTATACCCCAAAAGGGATTAATTTCCCCTTCGCCATCACTATTCATCCTACAGTCCCCAGGAGGAGGTCGTCTTATTAACGTCATCTATTCAAAGGTACAGCCGTGAGGACACTCTTGGTTCCCACTCAGGTTCTGCCTGCATAGGTGTGTTCAAACAGGTGCGTCCTAGACCAACAAGCCGCTTATAGGTCCTCCATCATGGGGATACCGATATTTTCCCATGAACATGCCCCAAACAGGATTTCTCAGATGCATCTCTGACAGGTGGGCCTCAATACACTGAGCCTCTGTCCTGCCCACACCCACCCCCACGTGCTCCCACGTGCATGTGCTTCATAAAGATGTTCTCAGGTCTTTTTCTCATTTGGGCTCAATTCTATGCAGATGTTCCTCATACAAGACTATTTCCTTCACCGCACAGGTCTGCTTCTCAAAAGAAATCCACCCAGGAATGTGTTATACCGCGTTTCTCCACCCCACAGGTGTTTTCCAGTTAAGTATACACCCATATGTGTTTGTTTCCATAGAACTGGTTCCTATACAGGTGTATTTCAATGCAGCTGTGTCTCATACAGGTATTACCAATAGTTCCACAAAGAAATTTGTTATACAAGTGATGTTCATTTCATAGGTAAGCCATGCAGGTACGTTTTCAAGACCGTACATCAGAGCGCCTTCGTGAGGTGTTTGCTATAATGTAGCTATTGTATACAGCTGTTTTCCACACAGGTATGCTTCTATTCAGCTATACTCCAAATAGATGTGAGTCAACGCAAATGTCTCCCACAGGTGTGCTTCTTACGCTTCCCTGCAGATGTCTTCTCTACAGGTTTGCTCCCACGCAGTTGTGTACCACACAGGTTTTTTTCATTAGGGACTCCCCCTTTGGATCTGCCCCAGACCAGAGTGCCTCCTACCTCAGTGACTCCGGGTCTCCTGTGTCTCCACACCTGTGAGGTCCTACAGATGTGCTCGAAATACAGGCGGGAGTTTCCTCTTGCCACCTGAGCATTTCCGCCCCTTTTTACTTCTCCCCATTATAGGATAGGGTTCCCGTTACAGGTGCGCTCGAGGCACGGCCCCACCTCCCTCCTCGCTCCGCCCTCTCATCTCAGTTCAGGTGCACAAGCCGGAAGTGCGCTCCCTTCCCAGGTGAGTGACTAAACTTTCCGGGTCACGTGAGCGGGAGGAGCTGGTGTAGTCCGATCGAGCGACCAAGGGACGCACTGAGGGTTTGAGCGAGGGAGCCAGACCGGGAACCTGAGCGAGATCGAAGACCCCGGGTCAGGTAGGGAGGCAGGTCGCGCTGGTTGGCCTGCTGCCCCCTTCTTTCATTCCCTCCACTTTCCGGAGTCCAGGAACGCACCTCTCCGAGTTAATTTTTAATCGCTGACCTCTGGCGGCGGGGCGGGGTTGGACTCCAGGGTGCCCCGGTGCGGGTCGCCCCTCCCCTGGCCCGGGCCCGGGTCCAGCCTCCTCCCCCACGCCCTGGCCTTTCTCCGTCTCCCGCCCCCAGGTGCCAAGCTCTAGTACCCTCGGCCCGAGATGCGGTAGGAGTGGAGCGCTCGAGAAGCCCTGTCCCTGGTGCCACCAGCCAGTTGCCCGGCCCATGGCGAGCCCCGGCTTGGGGCTGCTCCTGGCGCTCGGCCTGTCGCTGCTGCCTGCCCGCTGGGGCCGGGCCTGGGGGCAAAGTAGGTACCGGCAGGGGAACTGGGGACCTGGGACTCTGAGAGGTCAAGAAGTGAGGAGCAGGCATGGAGTGCCTTGGGGGCAGCAGTCTACAAGGTCAGGGCTGGGGAATTTGAATTCCTTAGTCCTTGGTCTGTCTGAATTGGTTGAAAATTCCTGAGTTCCTGACTGGAGTGGAATTATGAGCTGGAGGCAGAGGAAGCCTGCATATCTGAGTCTCTGTGGTTGAGGTGTTTTTCGTGCCCTGTGAGCCTGGATGAGGCCTGCCTGGGGCTCTGAGCACAGGATGACCACCGAGATGGCCATATGGGTGGACTCAGCCATTCAGTTCTTTTCTTCCAGTTTCAAGAGCCTGGGGAGAGGGTTAGGGGGTAGAATAAAAACAGATACTCCAAGGAAAAGCAGAATCTGTCCAGATTTTTAAGGGCCAAGGCAAGGCCAGGGATTGGGGAGGGAAGGAGAGGGGGCAGTTGGGTTTCCAGACACTATCCATTATCATAGCCCCCAACTCAGGGCTAACTGCAAACTACTGTGGGCTGATTACTCACTGCTGGGCTCTACTGGGCTAGGGGTGGCCAGAGGAGTGGTACAGCTGGGCTGGCTCCTAGGAGTAGAGCACCCGCAGTCAGAAGGGCAGAGTTCTAATGGGGGGGAGGCAAGGGGAATCCCCAAGGGAGGTGCAGATGTGCAAGATGGGAAGGATAGTTGGAGCTTCATTCATCCTTTCTACCACCTCCTCGCAGCGCCAGAGCCCACTACTGCATATGAGAATGGAACCTCTACCACCCCACAGCCCGACTTCAATGGGGCCTTGGTGAGTTGGGGAGTATGCAAGGTAGGAGGGCAGCAGGGATGTTATTCAGGAGCCCACATGTAGCAGATGGAGAGTCCTAGATCCCCAGAGGTGACAGGTTAGGGTAGGGGTTGGCACTGGAGAACCCCAAGAGACCAGAATACCAACCTGGCAACTGGAGAAACCCAGTACCTCAGGAAGGGAGTAGATGGTGGGAAGTGTAGGGGGTCAGGAGCCCCAGAGGCCTCTCAGAAGGAGGGAGGGAGGAAGGTAGGAGTCCAGATGTGGCAGGTGCTTGGGAAGGGGGCCCCAGACAGGGAAGGTGTAGGGGACTGGGAGCCCCAAATGTGATAGACAGGGGATTAGGGTGGAGGAACCAGATCACCTAAAGGGGCAGGTATGGGTGGGGGCATTAGGAACCCAGATGTTTCTAAGGTGGGGGTGGACAGGATTCCCAGATTTAGGGAAGTCACACCTGTCCCCTGTCTCGCAGTCTAAGGAGGCCACCACTGCCATCATTGTGGTCTTCTCCCTCCTGGCTGCCCTGCTTCTGGCCGTGGGGCTGTTCCTACTGGTGCGGAAACTGCGGGAGAAGCGGCAGACAGAAGGCACCTACCGGCCCAGCAGTGAGGAGCAGGTGGGTGCCCGAGCGCCACCACCCCCCAACCTCAAGCTGCCTCCGGAGGAGCGGCTCATCTGAACACTGGGGTCCGCCACAGCCGCCACCACTGCCCAGGACTGCCTAGCACCTGCTCCCACACAGCATCTGCCACCGAGACACCAGCCTCTCATGGCTTATTTTGGATTTGGGGGCCATGGGGCACCTGCCCAGGGGGCTCTGCGAAGCATGTCTCCTCTGCATGACTTTGCCTGCAATTGGGGGTGCTGGGGCTAGGGACCTACCTGCCTTCCTGCTTGCTGCACCACCTCCACAAAGGCCCGACAACCCCCCTCTCCTTTCCTTTCAGTTCTCTCATGCAACCGAGGCCCAGGCTCCCCAGGACTCCAAGGAGAAAGTGCAGGGATGCCTGCCCATCTAGGTCCCCTTCCTCTATCCATCTCCTTCCCTTGCTGTGTGACCTTGGGGCAAGGCTGATCCCTCTCTGGGCCTTCAAATCCATCCAGCCCAGCTTCTAAGAACAGAAGGGAAAAGGTGCTTCAAAGACTCTGCCCCTGAGAGCAAGGGAGGGTGGGGCTGCTCACTTTTTATATTTATGTGTAAAATTGGTAGTGAGGTATAATAAAACCTTTTTGAGCTGGTAGAGGCAGAAATTAGCCTAGATGGAGGAGATAAGTGCAGGGCTTATAGGCTGTGGAGGGATGACTTGTAAGGTTGTGAGGATCCTAGGGGCTGGGAGGGTTTCCTGGAAGAGAGGGGTTTTTGCTCCCCCTAGGAGCCAGTTGTAGGCTGCATCAGTAGGGAAGGTGTGGATGGGGTGGGTTTCTGAGCAAAGATAGCCCCTCAGGTAAACTCACCAGGAAAAAAACCAGCTTTGCCCTCTTGAGACTTTATTGAGAGAATGGTGTCTCCTCCAGATGTCTGATCCTTAACCTTCAAAACACTTTTTAAGCTCAGAAACTCTGGGCCCGCTTCTGGCCTGTGGCTCCTGCCAGTTGCTATCATGGGGTCTGGGAGCTCCTGGCTCCTTGGGGGGCTGAAGGGGACAATATTCTGCTCTCAGGCCCTCGGAAAGCTGGGCTCTGGGGTTTTCTGGGGAACCAGGATCGGAGGAAGAGTCAAGGGGTTGAGATGTCCAGGTGATATCTGAGTTGTGCTCGGTGGGGACCAGAGGTTGGGGGCTCTCTGGAGGGCTGGGCTGGGTGGGTGCTGTGTGGAGCTGGGAGCAGGGGCTCTCCTCAGCTCTGGGGTCTCTAGCTGCCATGTGGAGAGGGGAGAGATGTGGGATTTGACGGTGAGGTTCTGTGAGGGAGGGCTTGAGGTCCTCTCTGCTGCTTGAGTCTGCAGAAGCTGTTAAAGACTGGGATGAAGAAGTGATTTCTTGGCTGGCCTCTGAGAGTGGCTGGGGAGCGAGGTTCTCCGAGGAGCTCGTGGTATCCGGAGGTTGGGGGTGTTGCAGAGAGGGCAGGTGGGCAGGCAGGGAACAGGGCTGGGGCTCTGGGGTGTCCTCATCTGGCTGCCATCTTGGTCTTTCTGGTAAATTGGGCTGGATGGGGGTAGGGAGATTAGCAAGTTGCCAGACTTTGGGTGGGGGAAGGGTGGCAATTTGGATGGGCAGGTAGGGCAGGCTGGAGGGCTCACCAGACTGAGGCAGCTGTCCAGGTCCCCTCTGTGGCAGCAGTCTAGGCTCTGGCTGGGCCGCAGGCTGCTTGCCCTGGCGGGTCCCATGCTCAGACTATCCAGAATCTCACCCAGCAGATCCAGTTCTTCCCCGGACCCCAGGAAGCTGCTGTCCAGAGCTTCCTCTGCCCACGAGTCCTGGGCATTCTCAGGGCTCAGTGGGGTTGTTCTGGGTGAGGATGGGCAGTTTCAGATATCTGCCCAAGATCCCCAGCTGTTTGGAAATTTGGGGACCATCTTCCCCATTAGTCCTGGTCTCCCACTTCCAGCATTGTCCTCTTCCCTGCCTTTGAGCCTTACCTTTCCCGCAGGGACTCAGAAGATCTCTCTTCCAGCCGGAGTCTCCTGCTGGGGCGAAGGGGCCGGTTCTGCGAAGGATAGGTTTGGAGGGGTGGGGCCCCAGGAGCTACAGAGTCAGGGGACTGTGTAAAGGAGGGTGGGTATGAAGTAGTCAGCAGATACTGGGGTACAGAAGGAGGGAGGCAAGCTGTCTAGATGGAGATTGAGAATGGGAGGATGACTTGGTGATAATTCTAAGTGTGTGTGTCAGGCAGGGGCGGGGCATCTTACCTGTCCAAAGTGCTGGGTTATTGGAAGGCGCTGCTGCAAGTGATCTGAGCGACTGGTGAGGGACAGAGCCCTCATGGAACCTCCCCTCTGCAGGCCAGAATCCTTATCCTAGGGAGATGGTGGGTGAGCTGGGAGCCTGTTTCCCCATCCCCCCACCCCGGGCCATTGGCCACAGCCTTACCTTGTACATCAGGAGGCTCTGCACTCCCTTCAAGCCACTCTTGGCCTATGGTGAAGCCAAAACAATTAGATTCGAGGTGCTTTGACACTGGGCATTCGGGAACTCAGCTCTCTGTTCCCTCAGACAGCTGCATCTTGCCGTCTATTCATGTCTGTGTCTCACACATACACCTGTATTTTGCTGTGTATGTGCTCCCGTGTATAATGCACACCCATGTTTCTGGCCCAAACTTTCAGAAAAAAATCTTTTGTTTTAATTTTTTATTTCAATTTTTAATGTATTTATACTTAGAAACAAAACTGATGATTGTATTCTAGGGTGTTATTTTGCATATGGATATCATTACTTCTTTCTGGAGTTACACTTTTAATATATAAGCATAAATAAAAGAATTAAAAACATTTATATAGACACAGAATTAGTACTACCTGTGTATAATGCACATTCTTATTTTTCCCTAAAAAATTTGGGCAAAAAAGTATGCATTATACACGGCAAATACGGTATTCACAATTCCCCATACACAACCTAAGGAGTCAATACAAGTCTCTTGCCCCTTTTACAAATACCGAAGGAATATTCCTGGGACAATAATGCCAAAATGAAATGGGGAGTGGCAAAAGCAGAACATCGTAAAAATGTGTTTGTGTTCAAAAGCCAAGCGAAGAATAAAATTGAACAGACAATTTGATGCTGCAAAAGCTGGCCCTGGAAACTTGGGCTTGGGAGAAAACCCACAAGGGTGGAAGCAGGGTTCGCAGTGTCTGAGAGGGACCAAAACCCCCAATGAATCTTGACCATCAATTTTATGTGGCAAAGAGATTATCCCAGCAGAAATGAGAATGGGGAATAGAAACTAAAAGTGGGAAAAATTGTTAATGGTTTAACTACTGGTTTAGTTGATAAAAATATTTGCACTTTAAATATGGGGTTAAAGTGTCCTCTGTCACCCCAGTAAATGGCCTGTCTAGCCCAATATTACCGAGCGGTACATGTTTCTGACAGCTGGTTGGGTCTTGGCCTTGACGGAATGCAGGAGGGCACCACCACCTTTCTGGGAAGAGAACGTCAAGAGAGGCTTGGGCATCTGGGGCTACCCCAGACCACACTTCACCCCAGGGTGTGTGATGATGGACCAGCCCTTCTCCCTCTCTGTGCCCTAATTCACCTCTATAAGTGAGCAAATGATGACCCTATTTGGGGACTGTTGTGGGATTAAATTAATCCAATAATAAACGAAACAAGTGTTCAGTGTTAATACCTTTAGGTTGTCCGCCCAGAGCTGGTAGGAGCGAAGGGTGCCTGGAGTGAGGAAAGAACGTGGTCATGGCAGGCAGGCTCAGGTTGGGGTGCTGCTGGTGGGGTGGGGACTCCGGGCTGGGTGCTGGGCTCACCTGAGGAGGCCCCGCTGCAGGTGATCTCCTGCTCAAAGAGATCTGAGAAGCCCTCTCCTGTGTTAAGCTTCTGCAGCCGGCCTTCAATGAACTGAGGGTGGAGGAAAAGGTCAGAGAGTCAGACGCAGGGCTGCCACCAATACATCTGAATGTGAGGACTAGAGTTCTCTCGCCCTCAAGACGTACAAGGCATTCCTGACTCCTGTAGGGTCCCACCCCAGGACCCAGGATGTCTGGAGCCACCTCCGGAAACCAGAAGTCCAACCCTTCCCCTCCCCCGCCCCCTCAGGACCTGAGGTCAGGGGCCAGACCCCGCCCCTCACAGGGACCCGGAAGTCCGGTTCTGCCACTCCGGACTACACACCTCTCAGTGACCTGGAAGGGTTCGACCCCACCTTCAGGCACCCTAGAACCCTCTCCCGCACTGAAAGATCCCGGAGTCCATCCACCTTCATCCAGGAACCCAGGAGTCTGGCCCCGGTTCAGTCCCCTCCCAGGTGCCTAGGACCGAGGAGTCCGGCCCGCCTCCTCCTTCCAAGCCAAGGAGGTAGCTCTCAGGGCACGCCCCTTCCGAAGGCCAGCACAGACTCCCGCTCCAGAGCCAGGAATTTGGTCCAAGACTCATCTCCCCAGGAACCAAGGAGTGGATTTTTGTCCCTTAGGAAGTCAGGACTGGGGCTCTCATCTTTAAGAAATCGAGTTCAGTCCTGCCTCCCCAACCCAGAGCGGGAGATCCGGCCAGACCGATTCTAGCCCACACGCCCCAGGCGTTTGTGCTCCTAACCTCAACCCTCCGGCTCCAGTCCCGCCCTTAGGGTTCTGGCTCACCTGTTTGAACAGCTGCAGGTGCACAGCCCGCTGGTGGAAAGCTTGCAGGGGAGATCCAGGCTTCTGGGCTAAGAATGCTTCTTCACTGAAGGTCACAGGCTCACCCTGGAAGAAGGACCCACATCCTGAGCTCCTTGAGGCTCTCCTGGACGCCAGCTATCTCCCTCCTTCTACCATATATCTACGTAGCAAATGGTAATTGAGTGCCTGCTGTATGCCTGATCTTGGGCAGGGGCTTGTGAAGCCCCTGGGGATTCTGAAGACCTTGGCCTGTGAGCCACGGAGAGGACTTGAGCTTTTACCCAGAAGAAGGTAGGAGGCCTGGAGGGCTGGAACAGAGGCAGGAGAAGTGATGTCGGTGCTCACAGGTGACCTCTGACTGCTTTGGAGAAGAAAGACTATAGGGTGTGATGGTGGAAGCCCAGGAGAGGGGACTCATTGGGGAGGCAAGCACATTGATCCAGATGAGCAATAATGGGGACCAGACCAGGGTGAAGACAGAAGAGGGGGAGAAATGGACAGATTCTGGATGAGTCGTAAAGGCAATGCTGACAGGAACATCAGATGCCTAAATGATAAATCTCCCCACCTTCAAGTTTTTATGGAATTGTGAAAAACTGAACTGAAGGCGTTTGAAAGTCAGCAGATCGAAGTCCTGGCTTTAACACTCGCCCACTGTAGAACTTCTCCACGCCTCGGTTTCCTCATATGTGAAATGGGACCATAATGGTATCTAGCTGATAGTACTTTCGTGAGCTTTAGGTGAGATAGTAGAACCTAGCATTTGAGTACTCACGATGTTCCAGGCACTATCCAAGCATTTTGCACATGCCCATTTATTGACTTACGCCATCCTTTTGGGGGGTACCATCTGGATTTCATTTTACAGATGGGCAAACGGAGGCACAGAGTAAGCACTCTATAAATGGTAGGTATCAGCATTATTCTGAATCCTTCAGGGCCCATGAGGCCACTCCCTCA